AAAATTCTCCAGGGGATTGTAATAGAATTCAGGATAATGTTCTCTATGACCAGGATACTTTTTTGAAATAATTTGACATATGAAATATTATAAAAATGTCACCAATTCTCAACAAAACGGAAAATTAACAAATTCCAACGATGAGATTATCCAGATGTATGTAGAAATTTTCAGAAAAAGGCTTTAAAAAATCTAGTATAACCATACCCTATGAGGTTAAAAATAGATACTTTTGAAGTAAGCACAGAGAACTCAGTCCCAGCAGAACACTTGAAATTCCTTATTTTAAACTTTCATCAGTATCATGTTTACATTTTTTAATAGTGCAGTTTTGGGGTGAGGGATCCATAGCTTTCATATTCTAATGGACTATGTAACTCCCTCCAAACGTGAAGGACTGAATTTGCTCTCGCAAAATGCCACTAGAGGGCGCACATCAGCCAGCAGAGGGAGCATGAATGTGCTTCAGGAACAAGCGCCCAGCAAGAGTCACAGCCTGGAGTGCAGTCCCTAGAGGAAGAGCACAGGCGCACAGTGTGTATAGGCCCATTGAACAGTTTAAGTAGACACAGTTATTTTTTGTTTTTTTGTTTTATTTCACATGGTGTGTTCGAAAGTATTAACAATATAAAACAACACAGTGAAATTTTAGAATTGAAAACCATAACATCTGACATAAAAGAATTCAAGTGGATGAACCCCCAAACCTAATGGATATACGATAGAAAAGAGTGGGTGAACGTAAAAGTAAATAGAAATAAACCAATCTGAGCCACAGAGATAAAAGAAGATTGGAAAAAAAACAAACAAACAAAAGGCACTTAGAAACGTGTTGGAAAATATTAAAAGGTAACAAATTAATGTAAATGAATTTCCCCAGAAGTGTTTGAATAAATAATGGCAGAATATACACAAATTTGAGGATGGAAATAAGTTTACAAATATAAGAAGCTCAGCAGAACCCACAAGTTATCACCTTAAAGAAAACCCCACCCTATGACCTCAGAAAAAAAAAGTTACAGGGGATACTGTCATTACATGATACATAAAATAGTTAATTCACTAAAAAGAAATGGAAATTCTAAAGATGTATGCAGTTAACAACAGCTTTAAAATACCTGAAGCAAAAAGTACATTTCCTCAAAAGGCGCATCATTCACAGAGATGTTTTTGTCCAGAGCCACAGGTCTCTTCAGTACCCAGTGACCTGAATGGATTGCATCTTACTTTGAGGACATGTGGTACATTTTGTGCTTCTGAAAATAATTACTTGGTCCTTTAATAACCTTAATGATGGATAAGGCCATTCCAAAATGTTTTAGAATACATATAGCATGTACTCAAAAACTGCTTTTCTTTATTTTAAAAATTGAAACAATTTTAAACAGAAATGTTGTTAAAGTACAGTCCAAATTATTTTCCTCTGAACCTTTTGAGAGTAAGTTGAAGAACTGACATCCCCAACCTCTAATACTTAACTATTTCCTACAAATGAAAAATGATTCTACATAACCCAGTACAACCATGAAATCAGAAAGTCAGCATTATTATATTACTACATCTAACCCACAGGATTGCTTCAAGTGTGGACAGGTGTACTCATAATGTCTTTTGCAACAAATTCATCCAGTCCAGAAACACATGCTTCCTTGTCTCTAGTTTCTTTCAGTCTGGAAGAGTTTTTCAGTATTTCCCTAAATTTCATGATCTTATTACTTTTGATAATTACACCAGTTATTTGATTGAACGTCACTCAGTCCAGATTTGTTTGCTTTCCTCATGGTTAGATTCAAGTAACGCATATTTGGCAGGAACGTCCAGAAGTGATGCTGTGTCCTGCTCATGGCCTCCCATTAGGTATTCCATAATTTCAGTCAGGTCCATTACTGATGACGTTCACTTCACTTTCTCAATTATGGTGGTGTCGCTCAGATTTCTCTCTTGCATTTGAAATTAATGAAAACTTGTTGAAAATTTCCTTGATAATTCATAGACTTATTCCTCATTAAATAACAACTTAAACTCATGGCTTCATATTTTCTTTAATGGATAATAATGTTAAGATTGCTGGGGGTCCTCAGAAAGTTCATGGAAAATGCATATTATGAAAAAAAGTATGCATAGATTGCAAATTTTTTTTTGTATCAACGTAAACTCAAACTAACTTGTTTCATTTAGCAAAGGCAGATACCCCATATCTGGGCATTTTCTGACAAATGACAAGCACTTCTTAAAATTCCTCTTCTACCCACCACATCTCTGAGTGGTAGAACTGATAACTGACCACACCAAGATTATCAGGGAATCAGAGCAATGAGAAAACCTTTCTTCTCTCAATACTATGCACAAGTCCCAAAGGCAGGGAGCCGGAAGAATATCTTTGAGTTTCTGAGGTTGTGTTATATCTGGGAGACATTGTCTTAGATAAAGAGATAGGAAGGGTAGCAGGTCATGAACCCCTGAAGAGAGCAGTAGAACGCTATTAACAGGACGGCAGACTGACTCTTTCCTGTGGTTCCCAGAAAGAAATGTGATCTTGGCAGACAAATCTGTGCTTCCCTGGTCTGATGTGGAACCCCTGGGGACACTGGGCCTGTGCAGAATTACTATGACACAACCCTGCAGCTGTGCCCAGCCCTGCCCCAGCCCCTGTGATTTGCATCTTCCCAAAGCACAGCCCACTGCCCTGAAGACTTATTCAAAGGCTGGTCACACCCTCTGTAGGATTCTGTTGCAGTAAGGACAAACATGGACATGAAGGTCCCTGCTCACCTCCTAGCGCTCCTGCTGCTCTGGCTCGCAGGTAAAGAGGGACAACATTAGGAATTTACTCTCGACTCTGGTCAGTGCTGCCTGGTTCTTTAGGGAAGTCCTCTTATAACATGATTAATCATGTAGTAATTTGTCTTTATGTTTCCCATCTTCAGGTGCCAGATGTGACATCCAGATGACCCAGTCTCCATCCTCTTTGTCTGCATCTCTAGGAGACACAGTCACCATCACTTGCAAGGCCAGTCAGGGCATTAGCAATTGTTTAGCCTGGTATCAGCAGAAGCCTGGGAAAGCCCCTAAGCCTCTGATCTATGATGCATCCAGATTGCAAAGTGGGGTCTCCTCAAGGTTCAGTGGCAGTGGATCTGGGACAGATTATTCTCTCACCATCAGCGGCCTGGAGGCTGATGATTTTGGAACTTACTACTGTCAACAGCATGGTGCTTATCCTCTCACAGTGTTATAAGCCCGAACATAACCCCCCCAGGTAAGCACAAGTGTGAGGCTGGGCTGCCCCAGCTGCTCCTCCCGGTGCCTCCATCTGATGAGAGCGTTTCTCAGATGCAGCCATGCTCTGTGGGTCACTGCAAGGTTTTGGTAGAAGGGGCCAGGGAGGCTCCTGTGAACCCTAACCCTCTTTCTTTCTCCTCAGCCCCAGCAGCACAGTCATGACAGTGTCTCTCCCAATTTTATGAAGGACAGAGATCATAGCATCTAAGGAGTATAAGGTATGACATTTGTTGGGATTTATACACTGAAAAAGAAGCTACTCTAGGTATTTCAAGGAGAATCTTTTTTTATCTTTTTAAATATAGGTAATGAGAGTCTAAACTACACACTTTAGAATGAACCTAGACCCATACCACTTGCCGTATTCCATAATCAACTCAAGATAGACTGAAGACTTAAATATATGTCCTGAACCTATAAAACCCCTAAAAGAAAATATAGGGGAAATACTTCTAGAAGTAGGACTGGGAGAAGACTTTAGGAATAGGATCCCCAAAGCTCAGGCAACAAAAGGAAAAATAAACAAATGAGAGTACATCAAACTACAAAGCTTCTGCACAGTGAACAAAACAATTAACACAGTGAAAAGACAACCTACACAATTGGAGAAAATTTTTGCAAACTAAGCATTCAACAATGGATTTATATGCAGAATATACAAGGAACTCAGACAACTTAGTAAAAATCAAATAACCCGATTAAAAAATGGACAAAGGATTTGAATAGTTATACAAATGCTCAACAGACACATGAAAGTAATGCTCAACGTCACTCAGGATCTGGCAAATGCAAATGAAAACCACAGTAAGTTATCTCACCCCAGTTAGACTGGATATTATCAAAAAGACAGAGATTAACAAATGCTGGTGAGGATGCAGAGAGAGGGGAGCCACTGTTGGTGGGACTGTAAATTGGTACAGCCATTAAGGAAAATGACAGGGAATTTCTCAAGCAACTACAGACAGAACTGCCTTAGGATCCAGCAGTTCCGCTGTTGGGTATGTACCCAAAGAATGGACATCATCACGTCGAAGTGACACATGCACTCCCATGGTTACTGCAGCTCTATTTACAATAGCCAATAGTTGGAACCAACCTAAATGTCCATTGTCAGATGACCAGATAAGGACAATATGGTATATTTACACAATGGAATACTACTCTGCCATGAAAAAGAAAGAAATACTGCCATTCAGAGAAACATGGATGAAATTAGAGAAAATCATGTTAAGTGAAATAAGCCTGGAACAGAAAGAGAAATACCACATGTCCTCACTCATATGAGGGAGCTATGAAAAGAATGAATGAATGAAAGAAAGATACAGAAATCACAATAATACATTCAACTTTCAAACAAGAGAACAAAACTGAGGTTAGCATAGGTGGGAAATGGGGAGGGGAGTCAGGGAGGTGTTGGTAAAGGGCCAAGAAAATCGATTGCAGTCTGTAACATTGCATATGCTAATTATCCAGACTTCACATCAAAAATTGCACACGGGTATTGATATTCAATGCTGCAACCCACAGATATGTTCAATCAAATATGTTCCATTAAAATAAATAAAATGATTTTTAAAAAAATGCTAAATGTGCATGGTAGTCAAAGATGCAAATACCTGAAACAGGAGATTCTCTGGTTTTCCTTCAGAAGCTAGTATATAAGCTGCATAACCATGTGCTCCTCAGACCTGTCTGGAAGCCCAGGGGTGGGAATGCTGATGCTCTCAGCTACCTGCAGCACCTCTCTAAGTGACTCTCCAGTATTCACCAACATGCATGTGTTAGGCTTCAGGCACTGATGGGTAGTATTGAATCTTCCTCTTTTGACTTCCAAATCTCTGGACCCATGTAAACAGATCTTCAGGAACCCAGACAAGAAAAAAGGTTTCTGGCAAATGTGCTTCCAGAATGACAGTGATGATGGGAATTAGCAGCTGGCAATGTAGTGTGGTCACTATTGTGCAACTCAGAATTTTGCCAGTTATGTGATGACCCCAGAAAGCACTTTGATGTTCTTCCAAATATAATCAGCAAGTCTGGGATTATAGCAGGAACATTTCATGGAAGTCAAGTGATAAATAGAAAATAAGGAATCACAGGAAAAAAAAAACATAGCAATCATGTGAAAAAAATTTTTTTAAAACTTTCTTGACAAAATGTATACATTCAGACCTATAGATGTAACCTTCTTTTTCTTTAACGTAAGAACTATTGCTATTCAAAATCTGTCCAGAAGCCAGCAGCATCATCAGCATCAGTGACTGTGCAAATCACAGACCCACCTTAGTCTTGCTAAATGACAATCTGCATTTTAACAAGATGACAGGGGAGCTTTAGAAGGTTTAAGAAACTATACTTTAGGAAATATTTAATTTAGCAAAATAGATTTTGCCTTTTTAAAATTTTGTTTTTATCTAATGAGGCCAGTTAAGAAATTTTCTGTAAAGTTACATGTTAAAAATATACCATTATTTTATACTTAACATATAATTAAATTTGATTTTTTAAATGCCAAAGGTTGAAAAACATAATTATTTATCAATT